CAGGCTGTTTTCTGTTCTCCTCCAGCAGCTTGAACATCTGACTCTTGCTTTCTATTTGACTCAGGTTTCGGTGTAGGCTCTCTGCAAAGGCATTTGATGGAAGCGGGAGTGGCACAGGACAGTACAGGTTTGACATCACCCCTTCAGACGAGCGTTGCCTCTTTGGCGGAGGTGCGTTGGTCACTGGTGGTTTTAGCTTTGAGACACTCACAGAGCTCACCGTTCTTGGACTGACACCCAGGGCCCTCGATGGAACGTGCCAGGCTTGAGGCAGTGACGTCTTGCTCGTTGTTGGGGGGACAGATGTGTAGCCCATCTTGGCAAAGTGAGCGAGAGTGTAGAGCAGCCCGATGAGATGGTTGCACTGTCCCAAGCCAGCTTTGCAGTTGCACTGCGTCTCCCTTATGAATGGCCGCTCAAGTGACAGCTCCACCTGAAAAGATAATCAAACTTTAGACACTTGACACTTCAGAGTTGCTATTAACAAATATATGGCATATATGTGTGTGTATGTATATATATATATATATATATATATATAAAATATATATATATATAAAATATTATATATATACACATACACATACACACACACACACACACACACACACACACACACACACACACACACACACACACACATACATACATACATACACTGAGTGTGCAGTGAATTAGGTACATCTGGCATTTAAATGATCTGCCATGAAAATATTACAGCTACATGCTGGTAGTGGTAGGTTGTTTACAGCTGTGATACTTGCGAACACAACTTGAAAGATACCTAATATCTTTGACACTCATTGTAGAAAAAAGTCAGGGTTGTGGAAAAGCTCATATTAAGATAGAACAGTATGGATTCCATATTATGTCAATTTTAAACAGACAAGTAATTTGTAAGCTAATTGCATTTTGAAGAACCTTCCTCAACCCTGGATACACTGCTCCAAGAACTGAGCAACTCTTATCTTAACATGAATTTTAATACTTACCTTACCTTATCACTTACCTGATAGTTATACTGTCATTACACTATCATTGTCAACAAGCACTGTCTGGCTTTGCTAATTTGAAACAAGAATTTGAGTAGATATCAATGAGGCTTATGTGATATTACATTTAACTACAGATAACCTGTTAATGAGATAAAATCAACATGTTATTTTCAGTCAGACAATGAAAGTTACATTGTTGATATAAACTCATAATGAACATTTAGCAAGCTTGTTTAACTGTGGCACTGCTCTGCGAACTGAGCAGTTGGTCCACTTAGCACCTGTATGTTGTACGGTGCCTCATTTTTCCGCACCGAGGGAAAAGACCTAGCCCTCACAAATATGTGTGATGGGCTCCTATTAACTGTCGATTAAATACATGTTAAGTGTTAAATAAAATCTAACATAGTACACAGTCAACAACTCCATATCACAGCTAAGCTTACTACACCTAGCTGCTACAAGCTAGCAAAAACTGAAGTAAATTAGCGTCCATTCATACCTTCAATGTCGTGGATAAAACCTTCAATCCAGTTACTGTATCCCTTAAGTAACACAGCCCTGGGGATGTTGCAGTCGGTACTGGCCCACTGCTCCACATTTTGTATAGTTAATTCGGGCAGACAGGAGAGATTGGTGGTCCACGGAGTTTCCATTGTTGATGCTGCTGCGTCGGAGTCAAACTTCCGGGTTTGTGTACCCCTCAACGGCGTACGAGTTTTCAAAATGGCCGCCAGGTGAATAAGGCGAATAAAGATGAGCTGGCCTTTCTCCGCATACATCATAGATCATGTATCAGCAGGGCCCATCTATCAGAACACAAGAGGAGCTGAAATGCTCATAACGGCCCTGCGCTGCCCAGTATTAAAACCAATGAGATGGGGGAAGGGTCTCTCTGGAGGTTCCACAATTCACTTTGTTTCGAAACAGGGGTGGGCTTGGCATTTAATGCATTTTTTTACAAATGATCTCGCGTTAATATGTCGACATGCAAAACCAATGAAGCTATTGCATCTTTAATCTATTAGGTTCAGGCAATTACAGAAATGATTCTCCATTAACCACGCAAACACATTTCTGCATTAGCTATACCATTTAAAAGCGCACGAGACAGTTATAAGTATGCTACTATGCATAGCATTCGGAAACTCTCTTTAAGAGAGAGAGAGAGAGAGAGAGAGAGAGAGAGAGAGAGAGAGAGAGAGAGAGAGAGAGAGAGAGAGAGAGAGAGAGAGAGAACCTCTTAAAGTCATCTTCCAAAGAACAAGCTTTATGCACAAAATGCCTGACGCATCACATTTAGGTTTGACACCAGCAATGCACGAGCCAGGATCTCCATATCCCAGGCTGCTTTTTCATTTTAAAATCTGCTGCTCGAGAAAGATTCAATCTCTTTGATGCCATAAAAAACACGGTCGGTTACAGCTTCTATTCACACAGGGCCGTTAATATTAATAATATCATCCTCACTCAGAGGAAACTCATCTGGCTAAATGTCACAAGTTTAATTAATGACTGGTCTGGGTTGACCTCGGCTGAGGGGGGACGGGTGGGGGGGAGTGTTGCAGCCCCTAATGCCATGCAGGCAAACTGGAATAATTTAGCATGTTAAACGCAAAGTCAATTAACCTTCCTCGGCAGCCAATGACGTGCAGCCCCCACTCGAACCGGCGTCATTCTATAGAATCATCTGCACCTCGCGCCACCCTGATGAAGGGATACGCAGATGCATGAGTCATTAGCGGGAAATGGTTTCTGTTTTCCGCAAAGCCGCGGACTAATTGTACAATAAAAAACAATTAGTGCGTATTGATTCGTTTATGCCGTGATTTACCTCAGCTCAGACAGGATTATGATGCGCAGTACGGGTATAAGTACTATGGCTGTGAAGCTCTTTAGGTGGGAGGTTTGGAATACCTCTGGAAAAAACATCACTTGAGTCCCTACTTTAATTTGACAACAAAGCCTAATTAAAAAACATGTCGCAGCCCCTGAAATCGTGGCCATAACTGTCTAAAATGAACCCTCGAAACGCAATCAAACAGCTCTCCTCTCGCGCTTCTTCGATATGCGGGTTAGTTCTGCGCCCATCACCTTCCGTTTGCCTATAATAGCCTAAGATGTGCAGAAATCACTCAGAGACTTGATGTCATTTAGTCCTCATCTCCCAGCACCACACACAAATCACACACGAGCTCGGCCCCACTGCACTACAAGTGAATGACGACAAACCAGAACTACGGCCAGTAATCAACCAATCAAATGGTCCCGTGCACTAGGTTCGTTGATTGTGTAATTGAAGCGGCCCATTATTCCCATTTAACACATTTTTTTCTTAAAACATCTTCCAAACATTTTATTTTGGCTAAGGGTGGGGAGATGTTGACATTGTACTATGTTATGTAGGCCTAGTTGATTATTAACACGACATTCTATAAAATAAAAAGTAAAAAATACTGCTTGTAGGCCTATTTGGTAAACCACCCACATTACTATTGTGACAACTATAAGAAAAAGTAGAATGATTGTTTCACTTACCCATCCTGATTGGAATACTTAATCCTGATTGGTCAGTCCCTGACTCACTGGTGAGTCAAACGTTTCTGAATAAAGATTATGGCATGGAAACACTGGTGGTCAATATGGCAAAAATAAACCTCTTCTTTATGATACAAGACTGATCCTGATAACCCTGTTGGCATTAATTGCGATAATGACCAGTTGACTCTACATTATCTCCTAAATATCCCTTCAATCACACCCAATTTGTGAGAATGTTTTTGTAAAAAACAGCTTGTTTAAAAACAAACATTTTCATTAACATTACATATACCAACATTGAGAACTTCTAGCTTCCCTGTTGGGAAGATTATTTGCAGAGTATAAGGCATAATCCTCTCACATAAAGTAAATAGACAACATATTTTTCCTTTTCTGAACCCAGTGCATGACATATTGAGCACAAGCCAACACTGATATCAATGCAGTCTCTTGCTAATACACATGAACTTGAATCTCAGTTTGAACTTTAGCTGCATTGATTTTGTCTCGTTTAACCTCCATTGATTTCTAGTGCTTTGGCTGATTGCCCGTCTCCTTTACACTGCCTCAGCAGAGTAGGGTGCATGCAATCAGATTAAGGACATAGCAGAAACGCACATGATCAAATCACAGAACTTTGATCACTACAAATTTGGTGTGGATTTTCAGTGAAAATATGTTATTTGCAACCTTCAATTTGTCAGACAGGGGAGTCAAAAAAATATTTCAAAAAGACAGATTGCCTGGCCGCTCCGAGGACCATACAGAGACATGCCAAATTATTAAAAGGAAACAGATTTTATTCACTTTGAATGCTTGTATATAAGAGGACAGGAGACATTAGCCCAGTGAGTCACATGAATAAACACAAGTGCATCATGAACGTACATTATTTGGCGATCGCTACAGTAATAACATTTCCAGGAGCACGCAGAGAAAACAGTCTCTCACAGAAGGTCCAGACTCAGGAGTGAGAGAATACGTTACAGTGAGTCCCCTTAGAAGCAGAATACAACAACAACAAAAAGAAAAGAAAACAATCAATTCAAATGACAAATGTGATATTTGGAATGCAAACTTTGTATAAATATATCATCATTGGTTTTCAACATTGGTTGGCTAAGAGGAGAACATAATGTAGTTCATGGAGAGTCACAGTCTTCACAGTCATGTGTGGACAGAACTGCGGTGGAACAGGGACAGGGTTTGTGGCTACTGACGGTCGTCATTAAAGCTTCAGCAAAATCAAGCATGCATCTTAGTACAAACCTACATTAGCAGCACACTCTATTTCCTCAACAATTAGACCCAGTACATTTAGTAGAACAAACAATAAGAAATGAAATCAGAAGAGATAACCAGACAAAAAGGCCAGACACAGAAAAGCAAACCATGTGAGTTCACCTCTATAATACAAACTACAATGGCTGCACAACAGTGCTGTCCCATATCCTCAGAGTAAGCTTTCTGTTTTGTTTTTTATTTTTGGTTCTCTGGTTGTTTCATAAATGAGGTCACAAATGTTCTAATAAGTTAGCTAAAACAGTATTCTCATACAGTAGCTGGCTCCATCATCTAAAAAGATTTCCATTCTTTAAAAACAGTAATATTTTCTAAAGTATAAAGTTTTTTGTATGCACCAATGGTAAGACTACTTTATCTTTGGATTTTCCATTAAAGCAATACTGTAAGTTATTATTGTTTCATAATAGCGTCATTGTTATTATTGTTAGTCATGGCAAGTGCAGAAATGTTAAGAAACAAAATTACTGTGTACTGAAGGAAAAATTAAAAACTACTGCCTTAGGTGAAATTACAGTATTGAAGGCAACAGAAGAAAAAATAAAAATAAGTGCACAATCGAAATGCTCTGTTTAAAAGACAACAAAAATAGAAAATATCTTATAGATGTGCATCGATCTAATTCATACACAGATAGGGTCTTTCAACTTGGCTCAGTGCAGGAGAGGAGGTTGGTTGTACAGTGGCAATTTTCAACAGCATTGGAGGGTAAATGCTATGTTTTAACATGAGCATGGCTAAAAAGCCTCAAGTGTCTTTGACTGGGACAATACAAAAGTTAAATATACAAGTCATTTGTTTTAAACCTACCATACAATTAAGTCATCTGAATTCAACAATCTACGCAACACCAAAATGTTCATACATTTATCTATCATTAACACAGAATGTTTTTGTCAATTTAAAAAAAAAAAAAAAAAAAAAAAAAAATTATATTTTTCCACAATTTACAACGGTCTGCAATACGCTTTGTGTCTGGACAAATACATGTCCGTGAAAAAAAAAGTGAACATCTACTAGCTTAGTTTCAGGACTTTGAATACAAATCAGAATTGTACGTTTTCATTCATTACACATTTCTTTTGGGCTTAATATATTTTCTATTGGTATGTCTTGTAACAGAACAAAATTGAGAGCTGTTGACCTGAGAGAAGACAACATCAAAAAACATTACATCACTTCATTAAGCCAATAATATAATATTTTAACACTTGACAGGGCAAAAAAATAGTGTGGGTGTTTTATGGGTGTCTGTTAAAACTTACACGTTATAAACAGACTTTTGGTTAGTTAAGTAATCATGAAACCATCTCAGGTTCTTCACCAGTCTTTAGCTGTGCACCCTTTAGTTTCAAAACAGTTTACATATACTCAAGTTTTTGTTAAAAACCAGCATATTGAAATGGAAAAAAACATTCTACTGACACTTGTTTTTGGTTACAAGCACTGGTAATGCAAGTTGGATCCTACAGGATTCAGTCCTTTTAAAACAGTCTGCCAAACTAGCTCTGGGTCATATCTTTCCCCCAGGGTAATCTACAGTGGAGACATTTTGTTTTACTTTCCTCTTGTTAGTTTTTATTCCATGGAGTCTTTTCTGAGGCTTCAAAGCCATAAAAACAAGTGTTATCAAACCTCTTGCTCCAATATATTATGTCGAGTATTGTCCCTCCTCTGACTCGTTGCCGTCGCAACGCCCATCCACAGAGTCTATTGGTTTTGTGTGACATGTCTTTGCAAGGCTTGTCAGGCTTGAGGTAACATTTGAAGGTGAAAGAACATGATGTGAGTGAGAAGCCTGTGAGCTTTGGGAAGCCTCAGGTAAAGCTGAAGTCAGGATTGAGCTTTGGAGATGTCTACTGGTCTGGTCAGAACTGGTTGGGGTAGGGATGGAGGTTTCAGAAGGAGTACCTAAAGAAGACTGGGCCATTGAAGAGGATCTCTGTTCACTGGATGGATTTGACTGAGAGGTAGATGAGGGACTGATGTGAGGTAATTGAGAAGCATGCTCTTTGGCATTCAGTCTCTCTGCCACTCTTTGTCTGTGCTGAGGGAACTCAAGATGTTTGATGAGCTCTGCATTCCCAGTGAGAGACACCTCACAGGCGAGACAGTCATAAAGATGACCATCCTTGCCTTCTGTTTTACACTCTGTTTTGGAAACAATACAGTGGCTTAGAAGAAAGTTGTTATTCACATCTGGCTGCTTAGTGTTGACAGAGTTTATGAAGGGGGAATCTGTGCCATTGAGTGTGCCTTGCTTCTTGTCACGTTTGGATGAAATGGTGTCCTCTGCATGGAGGCGAGCAGAGATTTGGCTAGGTTTTGGTTTCTCTGGTAGCTGAACTAACTGTTTCTGTTGTTGCAGCTGCAGTCTTTGTTGCATCAGTGCACCCTGCAGATTTTGTTGATATTGCTGGAGAATGGAGCCCGGGGACAGCCCCATTAGAGCCTGTGGCAAGACTGGACCATATGGGAACATGCTTTCCATGCCAAACATGGGCTGCAGGAGGCCTCCAGGCATAGGTGTGGGAATATGGGCAGAAAAAAGTGGAGGGAAGCCAGGCATCAGACAGGGCAGGAGAGAACTAGGGAGCAGAGCAGCTTGGTCAGTTTTCATTGCTGCATGAAGTATTTGTAGCTGAGTTGGGTCTATGGCATATTCCCTTCCAGTATTTGGAGTAGATACTGTTGGTCTGGAAGAGTCTGACTTCTCTTTACTGTTGCAAGAAGAGTTTGCACGAGTAGCATTTCCCAATGGAGAACTGTCAAGCTTGTGTGTGGGAATCCTGTTACTTCTAGTGTCATTTTCTTTGGGTAACTGAAGTTCTTGTTCTGTGGTCTTTGGGGTCAAGACAGAGTTGGTTGTGCTAACTACATCTTTGTCATCCATAGCTGATATGGCAGAAGAGGACGTCATGGTTGGCTTGCGGGTCAGCTCATTTACAGGAGGGTCACTGGCACCTTCTACGATAATGAATTAAGAAAAAAAGCATGGATTACAAAAGATCAGAATTTTAAGTAAATTAATTAAAAACAAAGTGTAGGTTAGACATACCTGTTTTTATGGAAGAAAAACCATCAGTCATTTTGCAGTTACCACCTCGTATGCTTTTAGTGTTCTGTGTCTGCAGACTTGAGTACATTGGAGACTGGTTCAGACACTGAAGGGCAGTTTGGTTGAGGCCTACTGAGCTCAGTATAGCTTGTGGTTGGACAAGTCCCAGAGCATCACTTGTTTTTTTTAGATGATCCACCTCTTGTTGAGCCATCAGCTGTCGAGCAGATACTGAACCCAAATATTCCTTGTCCCTCTTCCTCTGGCCACCTAGAGCCTCCTTAACTTTAGCAAGATGTTGCTGGGAGAAGACATGGTCACGAATAGACAAGCAGCCACTGTATTTAACAGAGCAAAGAGTGCATTCAGTCTTAGGTCTATCAATAGAAGTACTCTCTGTACCAAACTGCTTTGCAAGGCTAAGCTTCGCCTTTTTCTCCTTGGCACGAGCATTCTGAAACCACACCTGAACCACCCTCTTGGCAAGTCCAATGTCATTGCCCAAGGCTTCACACTCGAGCATTGTTGGGGTTTTATAGTCACTAAAGCAGGCTTTGAGCACTTTCACCTGCAGATTGCTCATTTGAGTGCGGTAGCGTTTTTGGCTATATCTGTCATCAAAGCTCTGACTATTGGAGCTACCAGGGCATGGTGAAGCTGGATCAGCCAGGCTGGAATTTTCACTGTAATCTAAGACTAAATCATTATCAAAATCTTTAGCATTAAAGCTCATTGCAGGGCTAACCAATCCAGAAGACATCTTTTCATCACTTTCAGAAGAAGCCCCCCTCTCAGTGCTGGGAGACATGTGGTCGATACTGCCATGTTTACCCTCTAGAGAGTCATTTCCTTCATCAGTTGTATGGTCATGGGTCGTGTTTGTGTTAGCCTCACAGTTATTCAGCATGCTCTGTTCAAAAGTCTGATAAACTGACATGGAAGGCATCTCAAAATCTTCCATACTCTCACCTTTTATAGGTTTTGGGCTCAGACGCTGCTGATGTGAAGACAGGTCCATGCTTTTGCACGTGGGAGAATCTGCATCATCAGTGGAGCTCAAAAACTGAGAATAATTGGCAAAATCAAAGAGATCAGATTTAATTTGAGAACTTTCCTGGTCTTGAGTCATACTAGATATTGCCATACTATACCCTGCATTCCTTGCTTCATGCCAGTGACGTGAACGTATGTGAGCAGCAAGAGCAGTCTGTGCTTTAAAGAGAGCTCGACAGAATGGGCAACGACGATGGATATGAGATGGTCCCAATGCCCGGAACTGGCCTTTCCTCTCACGAGCTCGAGTGTTCTGGAACCAGACTTGAACTACTCTTTTCTTAAGTCCGACCTCGTTAGAGATATGGTCAAGCATCTTGCGTGTTGGATTGGAGTCTAAAAGGTATTTCTGATACAAAACCTCTAGTTGCTCTGGTGTTATGGTGGTCCTCATACGTTTGTCTCGCTGGGGTTCCTCCCCATTATTTTCCCAATCATTCTCCATAGAACTGGTTCCTGCTTTCTCCTCAAGTTTCCTCTTTAGAGAGTTTATTGTTGAATCTGGAATGGTTGTCACTGCTGGTGGATTTGCCACTATCTGGGAAATTGTTCCTGAAAGCAGATGCCTTGCAAGTAGGGGATTAGCAGGGTCAAACAGCATAAGAGGCATGTCTATAGGGCGGTCGAGGAACTGTGGGCTGGGAAAGTAACTTTGGGTAAGGAAGTGCATTTGCTGGTGCTCTTGCCAATGTTCAAAAGAGGGGAAGCTCAATTTACACTGGATGCAGTGGTAAGGGCTCATATCCTGAGCTGGTTTCTGTTGCAGTTGTTGCTCAGATGAAGGAATCTCTAAAGGACTACAAATCTTTTGGGAGCTCTGTGATGGAGTTGGTTTTGTTTCAGACGTGCAGGAAACCTGTTGTTGTTTAGGAGGAGAATGAGAGTGAATCTCTGTGCTTACATTTTGGTTCTCCTCACAGAGAGGCCTTGGCTGCTGCATTCTGTTCTCTAATTCCTCAAACTCAGTGTTGATACTAACAGCCTGTTTAGGGTCAGAGGATACTTCATTTGCTTGTTTAAGCTCTCTAGAAAGACTTGTTGTGTGCATATGCTCAGAATCAGTGGACTTCACATTAGTACTAGAACCAGATGAACTGGAGGGGCTTGAGCAACAATTTGCTTGTGTAAAACAAGAGGGTCCAGATATTGGACTATGACACTCAGTCTTAGAATCCATTGAAGTGTCATTCTGATCGTTCTGCATTTCCTCCTCCTCATCTTTGTAACACTGCATTTTCTGGTGATTAATTAGATCAAAAATGCGTTGAAAGACTATGTTGCATTTCTTACACTGGAAATTGTTGTTGGAAGTACGAAAGTAGCGGTCATTAGATAGGTCTCTGCGTTCACTATCCTTCCCTCCCTCTCCTTGGTTCTCATAGTTCTTCCGAGCTTTTTGTCTGGAATTTTGAAACCATACCACAATCACACGGGTGGAAAGATTAAGGAGGTTGGACAGTTGCTCAAACTCATCATCTTTGGGGTATGCATTGGCATCAAAAAAATCCTGCAGTAATCTTAGCTGATAGTCAGTAAACCTGGTTCTTGAGGACCTCCTACCCCCATAAAATTCTTGTCTTAGTGGTTCAGGAGACGGTGGTCTAGAATCCACCTTTACATCTTCCAGTGTTGTGATGGGAGGGTTACTAAAGTTATATGGAGAATCCTTGTTGCGCTGGCGTTCTTTGAATAGAGTGTTCCGAAACCAATGCTTTATGACTTTATGTGGCAAACCAGATTTGTTGGCCATCTCATGGATTTGGTCCTCGTTCGGAGAATTGTTGATATCAAAATACTGACGCAGGATTACAAGCTGATCATCCGTGATTCTGGTTCGAGGTCTTTTACTTTGCTGCTGTAACATTGATGGAGTTAACTGTTGTTGATAAAGCTGTGTCAAATCAGAACTCAAACCGGCCTCCACTGGGGGCAGATGGACAGGGCCCTGATGAGTTAAAGCTTGCAAAGGTATGGGGGGGATTAGAAGTGGGGGGAAGAGAGGAAGTTCCATGGGTAAGGGAATTTGAGCTAATGGAGTCTTAACTTGAGAATTGGAGACAGTAGCAGGAGTAGAACTGAGTGTAGAAACAGGAACAATTGGTTGCACTGGTTGTTGCTGTTGTGGTTGCTGCACTGAAGGGTTGGAAATCATAGGTGGTGTAGGAGAAGGGGATGAGACTGGAGAAGCCTCTGGAGTTTTAGGTCTCAATGGAAACAGTTTGTCATATTTCTCCCTGTAGTCTTTGGCAAATTTCTCCAATGACTTGATAGGGAATACGGAATGATGAATCTGCTCTTTATGGCTCTTCAGAATCAGTGCATTTGAAAAAAGCTTCCCACAGGACTCACACTCTAGCTTCTCCATGCCTTCTGAATGATCCACCTCTTTGGTGTCAGTCACATCCCCACCATTTGGTATCGCCTCAGTAATATTTTTCTGATATCGCTGCTTATTTTCATTGAATTGCATGACTAACTCAAAACCAATGTTTTCAAGCAAAGCATTTGAAGCATTCCCAGGGGCATCATGGGCTATTCTGGGTGGGAGAAACTCATCAAAACTCTTCCCACTGGTGGACATCTCTTTGTTTACATCTTCATTTTCTTGTGTTTTGGGATGATGTGTTTTTACTCCGATACCCACATTATCCATTTCTTTTGATCCTACATTACTGTTCAGTTCATCTGCATCCTTCTCACACTGTGGATCACTGGTCAGTTTTTGTTCATTAATTTCAGGATGAATTACAAGATCTTCATTTTGTTTTTGTTTAGAACAATATTTCGAGCCATCTTTTTCAGAAGACTCAGCAGTATCCTCATTTACAATAGGCTTTAATGTGCTTAAGTTTAGACCAGAGCCTGTAAGGTTCACCTCTGGATTCATGCGGAACTCTCCTCCTGGAATAAGAAAAGGAAGAAGCAATTGCTGTTGCTGCTGCACTGAAAGAAGAGCCTCTGTTGCCATAGGAAAAGGGTGTAAAAGTGCAGGATTGAATAAATGGGACTGAAGAAGAGCAGCGTTCTTTTGGAGCTCTTGCTGGAGATGGGCTTGAGCCTGGGCTAACTGCTGCTGCTGTTGTTGTTGTAATGACATCTGTTGTTGCTTGGTAGCTGAATCAATCATGTTTACCAACTTCTTCCTCATGTCAGATGTTGAAGGATGGTTGGTGTCTGGGTTTGCAGGTGTGCCATTGAGTTCAGTGTTTTGTTGGTGGCTTAGATCAGCATTGTTCATGGAAGTAGCAGGCTTCATGGTTGCAGGGGTGCTGGACAATGCCTTGCTTGGGGGAGGGCCAACAGATTCAGAACTAGAAGTGGATGTCTCAAGCTTGGATGCACGAGCTTTTGTCTGGTGCAAGACAGAACGCATATGGATCTCTAAGGTTGAACTCTGACTATATGCTACATTGCAAATACTACATTTAAATGGTTTGTGGTCTGCATTGTTGACAGGCTCTTGCAATCCAGTTGACGTGTCCTGCAGAGACCGTTTAAGTTTATGTAAGTGTGACACTGAGTTGTAGTGAACCAAGAGAATATTCTTCTGTGTGAAAGATTCCTTGCAAACAGTACATTTGAAAGGTCTCGATGGATCCAGAAATTTCTCCATTGTAATATTCGGGCCCTTTCTAAGTGGAAAAACAGGCTGCTTGGGGTCACATTCAGCATTATCTTTAACTGAACTTGAATCATTGTCTGTAGGACTAAGTTTTTTCTCCAAATCACATTCTTCATCATCTTTCATCTCAGTTTCTTCTGGTGATCCCTCCTCTTCACCAAATGTTTGGTCTGCAGAGATCAGGGTATCACCATTCATCATTAAACCACCATAAAGCTGCTGTATCTGGGTTTCACTTAGCTCCAGGTGGCTTGTCTCAAGGTGTTTCCGAAGGGCCTGCATTGTACGAAAACTGCGTTGACAGAGGCAGCATATGGTGGCAGCTCTGATAGCGTGGTACTGAGAATGCAGTTGCAACTTTTCAGGGGTTTTAAATGCTAGGCTGCACTGATTACACCGGTACTTGTAAATGTGGCGATCAGATATTGCCGTTTGAGATTTCTGGCTATGAAGCTGGTTGAAGTGTGTCTGGAGTGCACTTGAGGATGTAAAGACTTTGTTGCAGCCTTTCTGCCAACAAGGAAAAGCAGCATTGTTCTCCTTTGTGGATTCTGCATCCTCTGATGGTTGTTTATAGATTTTTGCTGCCTCCAAGTGAGGTGTGGTACCTCTCTCAGGTTCAGCATCAGTTGAAATTTCTAAAGAATAAACAGAAAAAGAATTGCTGTGAATACATAATGAAGCAAAATTAATTAGAACAATCATAGTTTAGTAATTTAACCAAGCACACATATTTATAAATCACCTTTGGACTACTTATTGAGTCAGATCCTAACTGTCAACCTTTTTTAACCCTTTGATGCATACGCTATGCAAACCCCTTCTACAGTAATGCACACATGAATGACCCATCTATGCAAGCTTGATAAAACAAAAGAATAAAGAAACCTTTTTGTTAAAATAACCAACTTCGCAGTTATTTAGATCAACACATTTACTGTAACACTTGAAATATGTTTATTGGCCACTTTGTCACACATAACACGCATAAAACCGATAACACTGAAATTGAACTGTAGTTTAGTGCAACTGTAGTGAATTGTGGTGAATGTGACTGAATGAAAAAAAACTGACAAAATAAAATCACACGGGTACAGCGTGTCTTAAATTGCCATCTCAGTGGTTACATGTCTCACAAATGACAACTACACGTTTGTGCTCCTTGCACACGAGCCTGGTGCACTCTTCGATTGGCCCTTCTGCTGATGTCCTCCTGTGGCCGGGTGGTGGGTGCGTTTTGTTTTTTTAAAAATTGTTACATTTATATAGCGCTTTTGTCTGAACTCAAAGTGCTTTACATGGAAGCGGGGGATCTCCTCAACCACCACCAATGTGCAGCATCCACCTGGATGATGCGACAGCAGCCAGTGCACCAGAACGCCACCAGAGTGGTAAAACCAATCAGTGTATATTTGGATGATTAGGAGGCCATGATGATGGACAGAGGCCAATGGGCAAATTTGGCCAGGATGCCGGGGTTAAACCCCTACTCTTTTACCGAACGACATCCTGGGATTTTTTGGAGGTGCCCTCCAAGCGCCTCTTCATATGGGACATGACAAGCTCCTCGACCATGCAGCTCCTTGATGAATAGCCGTCGTGCACTGGTCACACCACCATGTAATCAGGAGGGTGTTGTGCAGTGAAGTTGGTGTAGGCATTGAGGGTGGCAACATCCAGCACATTGTAGTATTGGATAATTTCTGGTTTCTTAACACTGTTATCATCCACTTTTTTTCATCATGCATGGTGCTCAGGATGACAACAGCCTTTCCCTTCTTCGACACATAGCTTAGTCATGTTACCATTGAATCCAAATTCTGAGCTATGCTTCGCCCTCAATTTGGATGGCTTCATCATGACAGGCGGTATGTCTGGCTTGTTCTGGGGAAGAGTCCACTGACAGACGTAAAGGGTGACCGATAGCATTGATTTATGACAACAAATAAAAATGACGAAATATGGAGATACAAGGTTTCCACCCGACAGTGACAATATATACTTGTAGCCAGAGGCGGCGCCAGGGGGGGTCTTGGGGGGTCTCAAGACCCTCCCAAAAAATGCTTTGACCCCCCATTTGACCCCCCACCCCCTTCCTGATTAAAAGAAATATATATCCGGGATAAATATTTAAAAATGTTTATCTTCAAACTACGCAGAACAATAATAATTAATAATTTATTCGACATACAAAATATATAAACATAAGAATCACGTTCCCTCTAAGCTGCGCGCGTGCGCGGTCGTGCACTTCTGATGCCGCGGCCGCGCAGAAAAGAATAATATGCCACGCGAGGACTGACGCGAAATGTGTGGGGAAATCCATTTGATTGTATGTGAGAAATAATTGCAGTGCTCAAACTGGTGAGTGCAGTTAACATGTTTCAAAGAAAGAGAATGATGTGAGCGCGTGTGATTGGCAGTGAGTCGTGTGTGCGGACCAAATATCTCAATACGAGAGGCGACGAGAAACGCAAAGACATGTGAAATAAAATCACAATATCATGTTTTAAAGAAGAGTGGTTTGATTAAAGTGGTGGAAATAACGGATGATGGACACAGAACGGTAACAATTACACACCCACCCGCGTGCAAACTCAAAATACATCATTAGTTTACATAGATTTAAATAGTTTCAGGCATGGTTAGATTAGGCTACTATAAAAGAGTTCACATATTGACTTTTCTTGAAAATATTTAGCTATTAGATCTAGCTATTTACAGTAAATGCTTCAGTTTGTTTTCATATTATAATAATATAATATGAAAACAAATTGAAGCATTTAAACTATCACTTCAAATACTTCAATTCATTTTTTTATATTATATTATATTATATTGGGCATATATTTTATTATATTATAAGCCTAAATAAAGAATCTCACAAGGGTATTGTTTAGGGCTCATTGCCATTAAAAAGTTTGAAACCCCCTGCTAAAAAAAATTTAGGCTAGGAAATTCATAAGCTATAAACAATCATTTAACTTTGATGGTTTAATGCTGCCTGTACAATTAATTGACTGTACAAAAACACTTTATGGTTTTCCTAAACCATCTCAGTGTAACAGCTTAATTTTCTTTTATAATATATTATATTATTGTAAAGAATTGAACTGTCCTGCAGAAGATTTTGTAAATAATTTTTCATAGGATTTCTTAGTATAGACTGGAAACAGAGGACACCGAGGAATTGGAGGATGAGGAGGATACTATTTTGTAAATATGTTTTCTGTCATGGGTGTGGCTATGGCAATTAAAGTTCGAGCATATTGTTTGCAAACTGCAATTGATTAATTAATTAAAAACAAAAAACCGTCGGTGTGTGAATGGGTGAATGTGAGGCAATATGTAAAGCGCTTTGGTGGCCATTGGGTCTGTGAAAGCGCTATATAAATGCAGTCCATTTAGCATTTACCATTTGTTAAGTAGCAGCAATATGCAGTTATTAGCCGTGTCCACTGTATTTTTTGTTGGTTTTCATGAGACCCCCCTTGAAATGACCAGGACCCCCCATTGCCCCCCCAATCAAAATTGTCTGGAGCCGCCACTGCTTGTAGCTATATATAATAAAGTTCTATTTCAACTTTTATTTTGTTGACCTAGCTAACATTAGATAGAATATGTCAACAGCAAGCTAGCTAATAGTATTAGACATGTTTCTCTTTCTCACTAGTAATTGATTTCAAGGTCAAGGTAACCTTAGTCTAAACGTTCAAATATTATATCAAGTTGTCTTTCACAAAATATCAAATATTTTCTGTGACAAAAAAATTATAAAATAAGACGTACATGCATGAAATATACAAAAGCAGCCGTGTTGAGTTGTGAAATGTGTGGCAGGTGAATAGTTTTCTGCAGTAAATATGTTCCTACTATTTACAAATATCAAAGGTTCCCATATGGGTCATTTTTGACCCATGTGTGTAAAATTGATGTAGAAATACAAAAACTGTGTTTGTTTATAAAGTAAGTAAGGAAAAATAAACATAATGCTTTGTGGAAATCAAAAACAAGATATTTAATGAATACCTGGATTAATAAATTATAAAATACATTTCTTTTAAAGATTTCGCAAAGAAACACTAAGCCATGATTGAAATAACATAGGGAATGAATACGGGTCATTTTAGACCCATGTTGTGCATTAGAAGGGCAGTGAGACAAAAACGATTTTTATTCCAAAAGTAAGAAAGGAAAATTTAAAATAAGGATTTGTAATGATCTAAAACAAGTTAATTGAGGAATACCTGGAATACTGAATGATGAAATTAATTTCTTGCAAAGATGTAGAAAATGAAAACCCAGTCGGGTCACTTTAGACCCATGTTGTGCATCAAAGGGTTAAAATTATGAAAAATAAAGGACCATGCTTAACCTAGATTTAAAAATATATATATATATATTTATACTAACCATCCAGTCTCTTTGTTTCATTAGCATTTATCAGCTGTGTATCCGAGTTGTGCACAGGTAAAAACATCTTCTCTGGCAGCACATCTGAAGCAATCATCTGATCACAAGGGAACAAAGAAATCATAATAGGTTTGATAAATCCATTTTGTGGATTAATTAATCCACAAAAATCTCATTATTAAGTCATTTGATTGTTATCTCTGAAAATGATTGGTCATTATGCTGTGTTCCTGCTACGTGTGCATTAACGATGCATTGTGCAAGAGAATAGACCCTTAACTTCAGAAGGCAAAATGGAATCGCAGTCATGAACCAACACTTAAAGCAGTTCAAAGGTTAAGTATGAATGGAAGCCCTCTTTGGTCCATGACAACACAATTAGCTAACTTTGGATGTAAAAAAGCCACTTTACTTATCTTCCTCTCCTTCTTTCCTCCTGTACCCACTCAAATTTAAAATGTGTAAATCAATGCAACTTTAAGGGGGAGAGGGAGGGATGAACAACCAAACAAAATGGCTGCTATTTCCATCACAAAGCACACCATTTCAGGAAAGTGCTGTATTGAAGGGACACAAAGCAGCACACAAGTCCTCTTCAAGGTCACATTTAATTTAGAACATAATTACCAGGCATGGTTCATAACGAAAATCACCTAGCACTGGCTCAGAACTAATGAAGCACAATTATTTTCATTACTGTATTTCAGTTCAGCTGGGGAAGGGGAGAGGAACGGCAAGTGCCGAAGAGAGAAATCAAGAGAGATGGCAGAACAGAGGGCAAGGAAGACCAAGAAAGATAGGAGAGGGGAGAACACATGAAATGGAAAGACAGACAGAAAAGCCTTTTACGCAAGAAAAAGCACTCAGCGCAAGCTGACTGAATTGGCAAAAAATGTCCAACCTTTCAGAAACAGTGAGGCATGTCTGCTTCGGGTTCAAACAAGCTCTGGGTGCATTAGTATCAATTTATATTCTGCAGATAAAAAAGCTAATTTTAATA